GCCCCTGAAGATCTTTCCCACAATCCTAAGGAGAGAAGGCTCTTGGCCTTGAACCCCATGGCTACTTAAGCACCAAGAGGCTGGGTGTTCTCAGTACCAGGTGACCTCAGACCAGAGGATACCCCTTATTCCACACAAAGTTCTAATGCTTGCTTTCCCCAATGCCCAAGAACTCAAAGACCACACCGCTCAACCATTCCTGCCACTCCAAACCTACCTAGGAAGGATCATTTTCACCCTCAAAAGAAATCACAAATTGAGCCTAAATGTGGAGCCTTCTGTTGCCTGCTTCCTCAGTCTCTGCACAATCCATGTGTGTCATCACAGAACTCAGGGAATGGAGTCACAATATCAGTATGGGAATCACATAGATCCCCTATTAGTCTCCCTGACCTTTGGGTTCTGTCTCCACACTTATCCAGACCTGCTTTATAAAACCTAAGTAAGATATACAATGGAGAGATCCCAAGGTTTGAAGTTGACTGTCCTAAAGTAAGATATACAAGGATAAGCTCATGAGCCATGGGACATCCTCCCCATCCCTCTGCTCCATGAATCTGGATGTGTATCATAGATTCGATACAAGGGGGGTGAAATGAGACATGTATTAATTAAGTAGCTAATAAAATACCTAGTAGACAGTGAACACTGGGCACATGCTAGGTGATATCCGAACTAACACCCTGAAACACTTTCTAGGCATTTAGTAAAATACTACCGTGCAGCCAGGCAGCTCTTAGGCAGGCCATGCTCTCCTCAGTAGCATCAGGAAGCCTGCAGAAATTCGTGCTAGAGACTGCAATCACCTCATTTAATTCTAAGTTTTGTCAGCATCATAGGTATTCTTCCCTTACAGGAGCTTCCACAGTCAGGGCACAGAGAAGGGCACCATCAACTTTAGACAAAATACATTCTGGCACGCTTCTCCCAAATGCTGGGTTCCAGACATAGTGCACTTTCCCACCGGTCTTTATCTCATCCGTCATGTTTAAAGAGTCAGACTTGTATGATCCTCTGTCTTATGTCTATTCAAATATCATTGAACAAGGTGATCATTTCAGAAAGCAGACTGCAGGCAAATTGAATCCGGCTATGAGGACAGTGTGAAAACTATTGGCTCCATTGGAAACGTAACACTGTTTCCTGGGCCTTGGAATCCATGAAGAGTAGCTTCTATAGTAGGCTCAGAGGATTCTAGAAGAACCTATAATTTTTACCACTTTCCTCATCCTTGATGGCTGATTGTCAATTTCTTCGAAGGATCCAGAATCTCCAAAGAAGCAAATATGTCAGCGTGGCTGTGAGGGACTTTCCAGATTATGTGAACTGAGATGGGAGGAGCCATCATAAGTATGAGCAGTACCATTACATGGTTAGGGTTCTAGGCTTCAAACAAGGGGGACAGATGCTAGCTAAATCCCAATATTATCTCTCTCTGCTTCCTAGCTGTGGATACCATTTAACCAGCTGCCTAAGTTCTGAGCGCCATGCCTTGCCCAGCGTGATGGACTGTACACTCAAACTAACTGTGAACCCAAACAAGGCCTTGTTTCCCTACTCCGCTTTCCTCTTGCATTGCGCTACAGAGGCACATCATGCCTGACATCTTCATTGTGGGCTTCAGATCTCCATCTGAAGGCAGGGTTCTTTGCTTTCAGCTCATTGCTACCCCAGTGCAAGGCCATGGAAATGGTTTCCAAAGAACAATGCTCTGGAGGCGTTGCCTCAAGACAGGAGATGCCATGGTGTGAAAAATCAGAGGTGCAAATCCATCAGAGAGTTCCCCCTCAAATGAATGTGACAAACAGTAGAGTCAGGGACAATAATGAAAAATAAACAAACCACAAATGTTTGGCTTCCAAAGTTGCTTCTAAACATATTGCCTAAGCATTTTCCAAAAAGAAATTAATTAAAAAATTCCCCTTCTTTTTGAGAGTAACTAAAAATAGAATTTGAGTGTGTCTCAAGACAAGAAACATCTGTGCAGAAACAGAAACAAAACACAGAACACAAACACAGTTAGGTGGTTAGAAACATCCAGAAAATTAAGTGACACTTATACCTTTTGTTCTGGATATTTGGCACTGCAGAGAATTTTGAACATATATTGACTAAATATCTAGTTAACTACGTGAGCTGTACCCGTGGCTCACAAACTTTGTTTATGGGGAAGTCCGGGTTAACATAAAATACAGTTGGTATAAATCTGGAGGTAGCCTCTGATGGACTTTTTATCTTAATTTCTTTTAACTAATTTATGTTAGTGTATGAATGTTTTGCCAGAATCTATGTATTTGTACCACATTGCTATCTGGTGCTAGTACAGGCCAGTATAGAGCACTGATACCCTGGAACTAGAGTTACAGACAGCTGTGAGCCAGAATCTGGGTGCTGAGAATCGAGCCCAAGTCCCCTAGGAGAGTACACAGCGCTATTAACTGCTGGGCCATCTCCTCAGCACTTTGTTAGCCTCTTCATGTTTGCCCTTGGGTTAAGTGAGGGTAACTGAAGAGATCAAAGACATACACACATTATTTTAGAATAACAAAGAATGTATGAAAACACTAGGTTAGGCATCAAAATAACCTGATTTCATGACCCAAAGCAAGCCACTCAGCAGGGCTCCATCAAAGAGCAGATAACCTCCCTGGTAGCAGCTGCAACAGGAAGAAATCTCCTTTCAGTTTTATGTAGACTTGCAGGGGCACCCACATACTTCTGAGAAAAGCTATTTCTTAACTTTAAAAGCCCTATTAGAAGAAGGTGTGTTCTGACAGGAAAAGTTGAGGAACACATTCAGAAATGGGCTACAGGAGTTACAGACCACACCCTTGCCTCACCTAGAAGCGCTGCCCAATGAGAAAGCTGGGGAACAGATAGTATGGTAGCCACAGGTCTTTGTATCAACTCTAGGTAGTTCTGGAAAAGTAAATGTCCAACCCAAAATCTCTCTCTTTGTCCAGTCCAGAGGCCTAACTCATCTCCAACTGTTCATGGTTGAGGCACTTGAATAACTGGCAGGCTTTGGGTATGAAACTCTCAACGGGCTTTGTTGTTCATGGTTCCTGCCCTCCTATCTGTGATGCAAGATGAAAGTAAACAGGCCCAGTTCACAGTTTCAAGGAGCTGGATTCCAAAAATGGGCGTCTTCCTCACCAACAAAGAACTGGATTCTCTTAATCCCATTGACCATCTTTATCTTACATTGTCTTTCTCATAGAAACTCCTAAAGACAAGATGAGAAAAACTGACTTTACATTTGAGAATGTGAAGCCTGGGACTGTATAGAGCAGTCATAGGACCAGGTGATTCTTGGTGTATTTCCAGGGCAAGTACACTGAAGTTTATTCCTTTGCCAATTTTCTTTTTCTCCCTTTCTTCTTCTTCTTCTTCTTCTTCTTCTTCTTCTTCTTCTTCTTCTTCTTCTTCTTCTTCTTCTTCTTCTTCTTCTTCTTCCTCCTCCTCTTCCTCTTTCCTCTCCTCTCCTTCCCACCCCACTTTTCTGAATATCTGAAGACACAACAATCAGTAAAACGCAAGCTAGACAAAACATTACTCATATGCACACAAGACACACATTGCCCGTGCTGGGAACCCAGGCGTACTACATAAGGAACATAGAATACCAGTTCACATCAAGACTTCATGTATTAACTGCACTTTCACCGTATGAAAACAACCACAGAAGGAAGCAGAATCATATGCACCTGAATGCTTTCCAAAACAAGCGGTGATGCTCAGCCCAGCACCCCTGTGTCTGCACCCCCTATGGCTCCTCTACGGGTCTCAAGATTAAACAGCTGGCAGCCAACTTTGTGTGTGTGCATGTAAACAAGAGGGCTCCGCTTTAAATAATTGTGTCAGAGAAATGACAACTGTGCTCTTTGCCAGAACAGGGATGAATAATTACAAAGCCAGGACATAATTAAGCAATTGTGACTGTCGGGATGTTGAGCTGCTTCTCTGATGTGCAGGGCTGGTGTGTTGCCATACAAGCCCTCCTGGACAGGCTTCTGCGCTCCTTTGATCTTCATTTCCCAGTGTAGCAGTGGGGTCGTGGTTGGTCATTCTCGATGCCTTTCACTGGGGGTCCTGAGCTTCTCAGTGTCTACTTCATTGCTTTCTCTATTGACAATGGTTTGATTCAGTGGCCAGTATTCGACAAAGATAGATATTTTCTTTAAAGTTTTGGGAAAGGAGTAAATCCTAGCTGTTGCAGGTCCATTAAATGTTCATACACACTACACACACACACACACACAGAGAGAGAGAGAGAGAGAGAGAGAGACTCATACAGAGTGTGCCTGTATGTCTGAAAAAGCCACTGGAACATTAGCTATCAGTTTCTCACAAATGACAGCATCTTTCCATAAAACAATTCAAACTCAGAAGAAAGACAGCTATGAATCAGCAAAAGGCAAAGGGCAGTCACAGAGGCAAAAATGTGTCATCAGGAGCAAGAGCTAGAGAGAACTTGGCCTGCAGTGTCCAGGCCTGCCAGGTACCAAGGCAGACCTCGGTGACACAGGAGACATGGGGTTGTTTGGTTCCTAGATGGCTTTGCATCTGCATCAGCGGAGAACACCCAGACTGCCTGTTCCCTGCCTCCAAGGCAAGGGCTGTGATTGGAGCGGCATTTCCATTCTCCCAAATACTTTATGTCAGGAATAAAATGAAAACAGCTCCCCAAATCACAACCTCCTTGATCATCTATCAGAACTTTGTGCTGAATAAGCACAACAGGCCCCGCTGCCCCCAAAAGGACAGAAGCCAACTCGAGATTCCCATTCTGTTATGAAAAATAGGTCTTCAGCAAGTGTGCAGGGAGCAGCTCCAGCAATTTGAGAGAAGGAAATTGCTCTCCACTTAGAAGCTGACTCCAGGTGTACACATGCCTCCCTGAACATACATATGTATGTATACACAGTGATAGGAAGGAGATATATATATCTGCATAGGCACAAACTGTGTCTGTATACATGGTGACCAGGCAAGAAGCAGCCTTCTGAATGCCAGTTTATTAATTCAGCAAAAAGCTCGTTTGGCTTCCTTCTATCTGGAGGAAAAATACCACTGTGTATCTCAGCAAGCAACAGACAAAAGGGAAGTGCCTGCCATTCAGCAGATGTGTGCAATATGATAAGCCAATAATATCATGGAATCTTCTTCCAGGCTTGAAGCATCATCACATAGCACACTTAACCAGAACCCAAGACTCCTATGCCTCATCAGTACTGAGGCTTCTGCCTCTCTCCCAGATCCCTCACGCACAAAGCCAGAAAGACTTCTGAGGTGCTCTCCAGCTGGGAAATCCTGTGACTCCACAGAAAGAGAAGCCAAGATCCCCACCCTGCTTTGTCAAGGGTATTTTTGTCTCTCTCCTGAAATAATTAATGGGAATTTTTAGGTGTAATGCAGTTAGTAAGGGCATTGGAGTCAGTCACACAAACGTGCTAATTCTATAATTGATTGGAAGCTAATTGGGAACATTGAAGAGCACTATTGCTGGTGTCACTAATGACTCAGACAGCTGACTGCAGGTCTCAAGGAACCCTTTCCCACCATGCTCAAAGGCAAGAGGGGATTCCAGCTCTCCCTAGCTCCATTCTGCAAAGCAGTCCACCCCACCTGCCCTCCTCACTCAGGCTCTCCTGGGGAGTGTCATGTGTGCCACGTCATCCCCAGGAAAAATACTGATCTCTCTCTCTCCAGTGCTAAAACAGCAGAGTGAGAAGGCCCCATGTCAGATAGAAGGGTAAAATCCCAGCTCTGGAGTACATGACCAAGTGCCCTTGGGCAATCCCACAAACTTCTCTGAGTCGGTGTCCCCTTTCTTCTGTGTGTGCAGGATTGTGAGACATGGAGCTTTGGAAGCGACGCAAGCACATACAAAATGCAGCATCCCAGTGCATGGGCAGCCTAGTCAGTACATCTTCAGATTTCCATGGGCAGGGAGGGTTACAGCTTCCGATCCCAAGGCAAAGGAGGGAAAGATGAAGAGAGATCTGCTCAGGGCAGTGCAGAGGTGGAGGGGCAAGAAGGCAGGATAGCCAGAGTCTGACCCCAAAGACTTCATCTGCTGCGCTTGGCTGGGGTTGGTGATGTTGGCTGACTCTGAAATCCTAAGAAAAGAGGGAAAAAAGAGAGAAAGGAAAGAAGGGAGAAAGAAACGAAGCCAGGAGATAAATTCTTTCATTTGGAGAAAATGGCAAAATCTGGAATAACTGGAGTCAGTCATGTGCACTATGTCAGGCCAATGCTCCAATAAGGAGAACTGTTAACACTTTAATAGCTATGAAATGAATCACTCAATTAATTCTCCACATGCTGAAACAGGTAACAATACATTTATCTGCCAGAATTATACCCTCCATATCATATATTTCCACAACTGTTAGCAATTTCATTCAGCATAACAGGAAATCAGTCGCACCTCATGGATTCAGGGAAAGAAGTGGCCTGAGGTCTGCTGCCAACAGCACAACTTGATGGAAGAGGTTTCATTGTTCTGCTCGGTTTTGGCGCTGTTTGGCTTTGCTTCCCTGCTTAATCACTTCCAATGCATGTACAGAGGGCTATAAGTCACCGGGAGAGGACAAACTAGGCCTTCAGGATTCCTATGCCAGCATTTTTAACATAGAGCTGCAATTTCATGGGCAGTAACTAAGGAGCTCCACAGTGCTTCAGGGTAGTGAAGTTTCTAGAAAGGGGTCGTCATCAGGGTCACAGAATCCACTCACTAGGCACAGACTTCTTAGAAGGGCCCAAATGTCTCCCAGAGAAATTATTGTGAACATCTTTAAAACTTCCTTGAGTCTGAATCCAGGATTCCAAACCAACTCTCCCAATAAACCCTGCTGAACTATGTGTAGGGAGCACATAGCATCCCCAACACACACTGCAGAAAACAGCCCTACTGCAGTAAGGGCTCCTCAGGGAACAGAAAAAGCTTCCTCTCTGATAGAAGAAAATTACTCCCTTTTAGTAGCAAGAAGCAAGAGCCCCCTCCAAATGACAAGAGGAATTGAGTCCACCCAAGCAACACAAAATTCCCAGTGTGTTCTTTTTCAGCTCTACACCTGCTGAGAAGAAAGCGTTGAGGAGGCCTAAGGTGGAGGCCTAAGAGTTCACCTGTAGAACTCCTCAGAGCTTCATTCGTGTTTCTGTGCATCTTAGTTTCTTTTCTACTGCTGTGCTAAGATGCCACAACCAAGGCAACTTACAGAAGAAGCCATTTATTGCAGGCTTAGAGCTTCAGAGGGTGAGTCCGTGGCCATCATGACAGGAATCATGGCAGCAGGCAGGCACTCATGGCACTGGGGAAGCAGCTGAGGCCTTACGGCCTGCTCCGCATGACTGGAAATGGCACGGGCTTTTGAAGCCTCAAAACCCACACCCTCAGTGTCACACTCCTCCAGTAAAGTCACACTCCCTAATTCTTCCCAAACAGTTCCACCGCTTGGAGACCAGGATTCAAACACATGAGTCTATGGGAGCCATTGCCATCCAGACCACCACAGTGTGCTATAAAGAAAGTCTCCTAAGACTGAGTGATAGGGAGATCCCAGTCAATTTCATTATTGGCCAGCTCTGCAGCTGTGACTGAACTATGGCATGAGATCACAACTGTTCTCAATGCACAAGAAGATATCACCCGTGCTCCTCAGAGCAGTCAATGGAGTAAGCTCTAATCCCACAGGAAAACTGGACAGTAGCAGCTCACCTTGGGCTTCACTACCTTCATGAAGGCCCCTCTGACCATTGCCTCCTCCCGTTCTTGCCTGGTGACCTTCTGGGCATCCAGAAACTTCAAATTTGGCAACTTGTGCAGAACAAAGCACCTGGGGAAAAAAGGCAGAAACAACTCAAGATGGTTAGAGTAACAGCCTCAGGGATGTGGGTAATGTGTGTGAACCTTGGGAGTCCACACCCCCTTCCTCTCTCTCCCCCCAAAACAGGTTTTTCCCCTTTAAGGGATATTTGAAGGGCTGTACTTTACACAGACATACAACCAAACTTCAGTGAAAATTGCCCTTGACTCAAGGGTAGATACACAACTCATTAGAACTAGGCAGTTAGTAGGACCCTGTCAATGAATCCCTAGGAAACAGGATCTTCCACTCTAGGAAACAGACCCAGCTTCAACATGGAAAGTTCTCAGTAATACCAACATAAACTTTTCTCAGTTGCTCCATATATGTAACTGCCATTAGTAGGAGGCTTCTGTATCACTGTCATTATTGATATAATTGATCTGTAAACTGGAGCTGAGGCTCGATCCAGGCCAGGATTTCCCAGATGGAACCTTCAATGAAAGCTAATAAGCTTGGATGGCTTTGGGGTAGAAGCAGGACAAGCATGGAGCTGAGGACTGCACTGTGGACTCAAGACAGTCTGAGGTCATTTCTGGGTCGACTCCACAATGTGGTCTAGAGATGACCTCCATCAAGGACAAACAGAAAGCAGAGGAAGTTTCTAGGTCTCTTAGTGGCCAGTAAATGCAGGGTGGCCTCTGTTCTCTTCGGAAGAATCATTAGTACTCTTATGGACCACCAAGGATAAGCTAATGGCTATGAGTGTGTTAACTGCCCTCAAACAGATGCGCATGAAGGGTATTGACAAGAAGACACACTTGGCCAGGGTATATATTTATATGTGTATAAGTATACACATTTGCCTCTACTTTCTTTTCAGCAACAGTCATCAACACATTTGCTTCCCATCAAGACTATATTCTCTATCTGTCAAATGAGAAAATGTTCAGGGCCTCTTCTGCTTTAGAAGAAAAGCTGAACACCTAATGTCAAGAACAATGAACAGTCTCTAAAGAAACCCATCACTTCCTGCATCTACATCTTCAGAATTCTCTCATCTTCCAAATCCCAACTGCAGCATATGCCTCACCTCTAACACTCCTAGAATGCACTATCAGCATCCATGCCAACATCCTGTCATTTCTAGTTATTTCCTTGTTGTTCAAGTAATGAATATCCTTACCTTTACTCCAACCTTCTCTAGGGCTTGCCTTCATTGAATCTTGGAAACTAATGCAAGAATGAATTCAATAGCCTATCCCTTTATTTCAGCCACACAAACTTTTCCTGAGTACTTACTATCTGCTAAGCCTGAGGGATACAGAAATGATTATGATACCTCTCCACTCTCAAAGGGACTCTTACTGTAATGAGGAATATGTACTGACACACAGCCAACTAGAAATCAGTAAGGTTAAGTTATAGATGGAGTCGTTATGGGAAAAGAAAGAATAATCAAAAACTAAAGGGACAAGGAGGACTATGCCGTCTCAAACAGACTTCAGATAATGAAATTCAGACGTGATCCACTTAATATTTTACCAGTGTAGCTATTACTTGAGCATGTGTGGTGCCTCCCTCTCTTTTGGAACCTTGGGTTCTCACATTCTCCTTCCACATCCATGTCACCAAGCGACCTTCGTAAACTTATTCAGGTAAAAGACCTGGCTGTCACTCAAAAGCCAGAAGCAGTGGTTTAAAGGTTCTGGACTCTTAACGTCAAAACACACTGGAATTATTTCACAATTAACTTTAATTAATTCTCTTATGAATTAAATTATTATCTCACGTGAGTGAGCAAACACTTGAACACTGGGCATAGGTCAAAGGCCAGCACTCCAGAGCCAGGTCTCTCCTTTGACTTCACTGACATAGGGCCTTTCTTTTGATTTTGCCCTTGCTATGTACTATAGGTTAGCTGGCCTATGAGCTTTTGGGCTCCTGTCTCTGCCTTGCATCTCCTTATGGGAGTTCCTGGGATTAGAAATGTGTACCATGACAGTCCCAGGGATGGAACTCATCATGGTTGTTTTTATTTTGTTTTGTTTTCACCCTTGAAATTCCTTTACAGTCCATCCCAAGGTCTTATAATCAACCAATCTCTCTCTCTCTCTCTCTCTCTCTCTCTCTCTCTCTCTCTCTCTCTCTCTCTCTCTCTCTCTCTCTCTCTCTCTCTCTCCTCCCTGTTTCCTCCCTCCCTTCCACCCTGGTCTCAATCTTTTATCCCTTCCTTTTCTCCCTAAGTCTTTCCCCAACCCCTCAGATCTTATCCAAAATGAGGCAAAGGGCTCAAATGTTCTTTCTACCCTCTAGCAGAATTCCCACCGGCCTCAGACTGTCAGAGAAAACTTCCATCTCCTGGTTGTGCTGGCAAAGCCTTGATGACAACAGATTCTTTCAAATGGAGACATGTACAGACAGAAACAGTATGTCAGGAGTGACGCTCGAAGGAGTAAAGACACCCACTAAGTGTAGGGTGGGGAAAGATGAATATTCAGGTGAGGACAACACCAGTATTAGAAAATCAGCCAGTGTTTAATGATGGAGTGAAAGATGCCTTCATGGGGCTGCCAGGAACCGCGATGACAACAGACCGAGTATTGTCATTTCACCTCACTTTGGATCGCAGCTCTGAAATCAAAGGAGGAAGACAGAGAGGTGCTGGCTTTTAAGCTAGTTAAAAATTTTCAGATGACAAAGAGCTGCTGTTTTCAGACATTCTTCTTCCAGTCAGAGAGACAGCCTGTGACACAGTCTGCCAATCACCCTGAGATTCTGACTGACTTCATTTCCATCCTAAGGGCCACTGTGAGTTCCCAGAGCAGTTTGAGGAACTCTAGGGTTACCCAACCTGTTAGGATCAGAGTGTGGACCCTGGCAGGATAGCAAACCAGCATAGGGCTACCTACCCATTCTCAATAGACCAATTAAAAAGACAAATTAACGGTGAAAAGCAGATGTGGCCACATTAGGAAAAGGAACGAGGAGGTCCAATGTTCCCCAAGTCCATCTTTATGGTCCTAAGATGATGTTTAGTTTTAAGCAGAGGCCCAGAGGTTTGCACAGCGAAGCAGCTCTGTTGGAGGAAGGATTCTGCCTGTCACCATTGTCTTGGTTCAGGGTCTCCTGCAATATGAGCTGAGGAGGGTGAATCTCTTTCATGGAGGCAAGCTCCCTCTGGTTGGCACCAAGCATCCAGGCTTTCTTTCTTCCAGAATGAGATTCTGAAAGAAACTCCAATTTCTTGGAATCTATAGACTGATAGCCAAAAAGGAGGGCACAAGTGACTCTTTAGAATATCTTCATCCCAAGGGGACTGTGAGATGTTGCTCAGTTTGAGTTTGATCCACATGGCCCACAGCAGAAGGAAAAAAATGATCCCTGAGCGTCATCCCATGACCTCCACATGTGCTCTGTGGCAAGCAAGCACCCCCAACATGTATCATACATGCACATATACACACATACACACTAATGATAGATGGTATTTAAAAAATTTTTGAAATGGGCCTAGAGACATTACTGCAGTTAAGGGCATCTTGTGATCTTCCAGAAGACCCAAATTAGTTACCAGCATCCATGACCAGAGGCTCCCAACAACTGTAACCTTAGCTCAGACAATCTGGCACCCTCTTCTCACCTAATTGGACACCCACACTCACACACCTACAGAGACTTCTCACCTAAGTGGATACCCATACACACACACACACACAGAGACTTCTCACCTAATTGGACACCTACACTCACACACCCACAGAGACTTCTCACCTAAGTGGGCACCCATACTCTCTCTGTCTCTCTGTCTCTGTCTCTGTCTCTGTCTCTGTCTCTCTCTTTCTCTCTCTCACACACACACACACACATACACACTCACACACCCACAGAGACTTCTCACCTAAGTGGCACCCATACTCACACACACACACACAGACACATAAACAAATGGAGACTGAAGCTTTTTTAAATGAAGGAGCTGTACAGGGCTGAGAAGGTGAGGAAGCTCAGCCGATGCCCCCTGCTCACACTACGTCCTGCGTTCTAGCACAGCCTTGACACCCTAGCCCAGTGGTTCTCACATGGAGCAGGCATCCTCGTGACCCACGGGCTTGTTAAAGCACAGATGCAGACGCCAGCCCGTCCCTGGAGCTCCTTACTGAGGCGATCTGGACCGAGGCCTGGAATTTATGTTTCTAATAAGTTCCCAGGTGATGCTGTCACTGCTGCCATCCTGCTGAGAACCAATGTCCTAGCGAAAACAACACCGCAAGGACTAATAGTTGGGAAATTATGAGCGCAATGAGGCAGCCAGGAGCCTCCTTCCCAGTTCAATGAACAGTCTGCCCTGGCCCAGCACCTGTGCTACACGGAGCCCAGCTAAAAGTCACGTTTACCAGAGCTTCCTGTCCCCTGGTGACTTAGAACAGGCTCCGGCATCCCTGCCAAGTGATAAGCCAGAGGGCATCCAGCCTGCCTGTCCCATGCTGGTCTTGGGAGATCTATTTCCCTTTGTTCTAGGTCATGTTGGAGTGCCAAAAGCTGCAGCTTCAATTCTTAGTATAATACAAGTTTGCCATAAAAACACAAGGGCAGATTGCTGAAGCCACAGAATGAAGGCTTTTACAATATCAACTCAACCCTTGTAAATTTAATCCGGGGTTATTTGTTGCACCCAAATCTCTTTACTGTGATGTATGACTTAGTTACTGGGGTTATCATAGCCGTATCCTAAAGTTGCATAGAACATAAAACATTTCAGTTAACAATGCAGGGAGGTTAACTCCCCCAGATAGCCTGCAATCAAAAGGGGTAGTCCAGATGACATCCCTGTGTCAGCTCGCAGGAGCTATTGATGGTCCAATCGGTTTGTTTGGAAGGGAAAGAACAACAAAAGGCCAGTAAACTTATTCAGACTGTCAACAGGGGCTATCGGGAATGGGACTTGCAGGTAAGTAATTCTGGGTGTTTTAAGGCTATTATCAAACAGCAATGGTTGAAGGGAGAGACAGCAACTAATAACACAGAAG